CTATCATAAATTCGGTTGAAATTAAAATACAGACTCACAGGGTTGAAAGGGACCTTCAGAGTCATCTAGTTCAGTCCCTTGTATGGATCCAGGGTTCACTCTTCCTAAATCAACCCACACAAATCTAGCTTTCTTCTTGCAAACGTCCCATGGTGGAGACTCCACAGCTTCCTACTGTTCTTAAACCTAGGAAGCTTCTTCCTGAAACTTGATCTAAAAAAATACTTTGCTGCAGTTGAAACCCCTTGTTTTCTGTCCTGCTCTCTATGGCAAAGGAGAACAATGTTTCTTCCTCTCCTTTATGGAAATCTTTCAAATCATGTCCTGCCTTTTAATCTTCTAGTTCTCATAATCTTTTCTCGGATGGCTGCAATCCAGCCCCTTTATCATCTTTGTCCCTCACTCCTTGGACTTGCTCCATTATTGTTAAAAGGAACTGAACACAAGACTCCAGTTGTGGCCAAAAAAGTCTTTGTTTTTCTTTTTGGGGGGAAAAAAAAAGTCAGATTGCTGACTCGTGCAGAGTGCATGATCCACCCCAGTCCCCAGATCTCAGCAGTGCTACTGCCTGGCTGTTATTTCCTACTATGTATTTGTGCATTCAGGTTTTTCCCCCCCTGTGTTTAGAAGCTGACATTTGTCTTTGAATTCCATTTCTCTCTCCATAGCCCAGTTATTAGGCAGAGAGATGTTTGAGGCACGGCTATTATAATGGTGATGTTATCAGAAGCTGTTTGCAGACACCTGTTAACGCGTGTTTCTGTTGGGTTAATCTCTTCAGTATGGGGCTTCTGCCAACAGGATGTTCCTATGCACAGCGCAGAAAACATTGCACGGTGTCAAGAGCATTACAGGAAGAATGCAATTTCCTATACAAACCAATCTCTCAGTTCTCTCACATCACTCCGCTGAGCAATGTTGTCTGAACACAGACTGGTCGTCTCTGTTTGCAGACTCAAAGAAATCATAGAGAAGTGGGGCTGGAAGGGACCTTGAGAGATCATCTAGTCCAACCCCCTGCCTGAGGCAGGATCATCCCTATGCAAACCATCCCATAGCAATCTGTTGTCTAATCTATTAGTAAAACTACACCGTCAGCCCTGATGCAACACAAGGCATAACACCGTCACCTGCCACAGGTAAAGCACAGCTGTCAACAACCTGCTGCTGCAAGGGCTGGAAAATATGCTTGAGAGATCTCATGCCCACCACTACAGAAGGCAAACCCTGTCACAGTCGGTATCGATCTAACCACAGGGTGAAATTCCCCATGGACGAGCTTCACTTTACTAAATAAATCCTAATTGACCTGCAAACCTGGGGTAGGTATTTCACTAGGGCGCTTCCTTGTGAGAGGTGGGCTTTTCTGTTTTTGGTGCTGTGGCTGGGAACTCCATAGCACGGTCTTTTTTACATGTTAGTCTAACTCATCAGCATAATTAAGGACTATTCAAACTTTGTCACCTGCCAAGAAAGGAGTTAATTGTGAATTTGTGCCCAGTTTGGGGCAAAGGATCAGGTTGGATCTTACTCCATTTGAACCAGTTGACTTTTCTTTGAACGATCCTGAGACACCTCCTGCCCACATTTTTAACCGCTGACAACAAAGCAGAATTTGCTTCCGTGGCTACAAGGAAACCAACATGGATTTGGAATAAATCTTCCCTGCAAGTTATGGTAGTAACTAGTGATCTCCTAGCCACAACACTCCCATGCAGTGATGCATTGGTGTTTTTGAAGGATGCTGCAAGTAAAATGTAAAAAAATAAAATAAAATAAAATAAAAAAAGGGGAAGTTCCCACTTTAATACCCAGGGAACAAATTCACTTCCGTCTTGAATTTCAGAGGATTTCATGGAACATAAATCAAAACAATTTAATTCTGCCTGTTTGACTAAGTAATAAAGCCTCTCTAAAATGATATTGCTTGGCGTGTTTGAAAATAAAAACAGGTGAGGATTAAAAATAAAAGAAGTATATGTATGTGGGGAAGCTCCCAAAGAAGCAGTGCAGAAAAAGTTGAACAATGGTTAGAATGTTTTTTTTTAGTCTAGACAAAACCCAACTCATCAAAGATTGTTAAAGAGAAAGAGACGTTTACCATCCCTGGAAAAAAAAGGGTGGTGGTGGGGGGAGGGTGGGTATTTCCACGATGACTCCCATAATGTTGATTTATGGCTTCCATTCTTAATAGTCTGGAAAAATCATCTGGGGCTAGATTTGTATCAGAGATGCATCTACAACCTCACTCGAAAGACCTGGGAATGCGAATTACCCACCTGCTCTGTCTACCCACGGGTTTACGTGGGTTGGCATGTAAAAGGCCTGCCCACATTGCCTACATAATACTCCTCCTGCAGGAAGGGGTGACATACCTGAAGCAGCTGCCTTTTGTATGGAGACAGCCAAGGAATGGGGTTGCATCAGTCAGTTCAGCTGCGTCAGCCTTTGTAGGGGTGATTTTGGGAATTCAAGCTAATTTTAAATCAGTTCCATGCTCAACGTCAAGAGACACGAACAATTTGACCTCACCATTGATTCACAGATGGGTCTGGCCTGCTTCTGGATATTGACCCCACACAGCTGTATTTGGTTGGGTGCACGATTATAAATGTCTAAATCCTTATTCTTTCCAGGCAGGTATAAGTAGGGACCTACTTAAATCGTGGTTTGGTGATTTTCGCGGAAACCACAAAAAAACTGTTGTTTCAGCGACCACTGCAAAAAATGACATTTCCTGGGATTTTGTGCGGAATTGCCTGGGAAAAAAAAAAAGCTTACCAGAATACAAAGAAAGTGCAGCAATCCCTGCAGCCATAGAGCAGGTGTTTTGAGAGAGAGCTACTGAGAGGTTGAGCTAGTGACATGGACCCAGTGCAGGCGCCAGTCAGAAAAGCAATTAGGTTTTGATGCCATCTTTTATAGATTCATAGATGTTAGGGTTGGAAGGGACGTGAGTAGGTCATTGGCTTCATTAAGAAGCCAGATGCAATGCTGCAGTCTGAAGATGAGTGATTGGCCTCTTGGCCAATCAGCGGTGAGGGGCAGGGCTGCTGGGGTATCTTGGCCAATCAGCGGCAGGGGGGGTCACCACAAAAAAGACTGAGAATTGCAAGTGGCCCATGAAAATCTCTTTGTCTTGCCGCAATGTAGGTAGGTCCCTAGGCATAAGCAGATCCTTGTCTGCCTGAAGCTGGGTAACAACCTTTATAACGTGGACACGTTATTTTGTAATTGATCCCTATGGGTTTTCATGCACGTTCTTCTGAAACATCTCACACTGATCCTCTCTTGTCCTGGGTAAGAGACATTACCAGGGCGATCCAGCATCTAATTTTCTGTCTGCTTACACATGCAGGGTTTCTGAGGGCTGGCATAAAGTTCAAAAGCCGATCAAGTGGCCGACATCCAGTACTTTGTGCAAACTGGCAGAAAAGAGCCAGCCACCTGCCTGATTGCTGATGACATCCATCACCTGCAGATTTCTCAGACTCCCTAATTTTGATTGCTCTTCCACTAAGCACAACTCATAGCTCAGCTTTCTGACAGCTTTCTCCTCTCCCTCCATTGGAGATTGGCCTGTGGACATTCACAAGTGGTCTTCAAATCTCTGACTGAGCCAAAGCAATGCATCACCAGGCCTGGGAAAGTCGGGCCATTTATCACTGCATGTTTTCCCGTGATGTTGCATTAATTAGCTTTAGCCTGCAGGTGGAGCGGGGTGAAGTCACTTCCATCACTGATAATTGGAATGGTTTGCTAGAAACTTTAATATTGATAAATTGAAAAAAGGGTGAGAGTTATTAGATTAATGGTCAGAGTTTCTTTTATAGACCTTACCAAGGTGTTAGTTACTGAATGGAAAAATGCAAGGATGGTTTTTGCAGTGGGACCACATTATAACTTTCAGTAAGAACATGGTGTGTTCCTGAGCTTGAAGCATTGGTATGAAGGCAATTAAGGCTAAATAAAAAGGAGTGGTGAATTCTAAGCCAAAACATACCTCATTCATTCTAAGGAGTATGATTTAGTTTCTTTTTGATACTGCATATGTTGTGCAAGGTATGGGGATGGTTGTCACAAAGTCTTAGTAATGCAAGACATCAGGGCATTATCATTACTGATTTATCTGTGTTACAGTATATCCCAGATACTTCAAATGGGACTGAGGTCTTCTCATGCCTGGTGCTGCACAGAAATATATTTTGCAATCCAGTGGAAGAATATAAGCAAAGGAAGGATGATTACCCCGATTCTAAAGAGCCCAAAAGAGGTTATACAACTTACATGAGGTCACATAGAAAGCCCGTAGTAGAGAGAGGATAGGATTCATAGATTCATAGATGTTAGGGTCGGAAGGGACCTCAATAGATCATCGAGTCTGACCCCCTGCATAAGCAGGAAAGA